TTGCCGTTGCAGTAAAAAAATTACGTATCTCGACAGTTTGGTTGGTATGGAAGATGAAAAAATGATTAAACTGTTATTTTAAACAATATAATTGTGACACTACTAACGCCTTCTGTTGTGTTTATGGTTCTATGGATGAAAAGAGTCCGTACTTTACTCCAGGTGTCATTTTCATTATTGGTTAGGAGAAGAATCAAAATTTTCCGATCCTCTTTTCTAACTGTACGTAGCTACACACATAGACTCATCAAGATGCTTGCCTTTTACTGGAATGGAACACTGTTCTAGCACCGTTTGTTCGCTAGTTGTTTATATCATTGTTTAGGAAGGTATTTAAAAGCTTTCGGTCCGCCTTTCCTAACTAAAGTGACAGAGTTATCAACAATTTAAATTACATATGAAGCAACCTTACGAGGTTGCTTCTATTTGACTTGAATATCAGAGTTGAAAACCGTTTAAACGGCAGAAGTCTGATACATATTTGGTATATGGTGTCTGATGTTTTTTTCGTGATAACACAATGAGCTATAATTTATACTTAAGTCGAAATTAGTGCACAAGGCTCTAACGTCGTTCAACCATAGTAGTAATATCATAAATGCTGAATATATCACAATTGATAAATATCGTCTTAAAAAGAATATAAAAAAAAGTGAAGACAAAATTTTAATTTCGAGATAAATAGGTTCCGACTATAGTTTCTGCCAATGCACCTAAAATAGTTTAAATGTGCTACAAAAACAATCTGGGGAACTCTTTTCAATGACTCGTAATATAATTTAATATTTTATATTAAAAACTGAACATATGTAATAGACAGAGCAAGATTATATAGTAAGTGTTTGAATTTTAAAAAATAATGCTGTTTAGTAGCAGAGAACAATGAAATAGTACAGCACATATTACAGCTACAAAATATTAATTAAATATGTACTATAGTTTTTTAAAATACATGAATTATTTAACGAAGAATACTGCCTTCTGGTGTACTTTTAAGTTTTTACTATTCATTAAATTTAATAAAAAAAAACATCAAGAGTTTAATTACTAAATTCTAGATTATAGTAAATAGTTCTGATAAGTAATAAAAAAGAGTTACGAATATATGTAGTAGACTATAATGAAGAATTGATAATGTTTATATGATGATTCCTTATCGTGATCATAAAATTCAATTAGTATACTTTTTTTCCCTCTTTACCTTATTGAGTATAAAAGTACTTCATTTCTCTTTATTCTTATTGCTCATTTAATGGTATCAATCTTTGATATATGTTATAATGTGAGTAATAGAGTTAATATCTGAAAAAACTCCCCACAACATATATTAGTTGATATTGGTTAGTATTCGCGATGTTTCGTTACATGGTAGTTAGATGATGCAAAGTCCGGATTATACGGTAAATGCATCAAAACTAAACCTTTACTTTGCTCCGAGCCATTATAGTTGTGTGTGGCTATGAGTGTTGTAATGTTGGAATACAACTCTTTATCTGTTGGTCAATTTTAGTCGCTTTTCTGGATTGTTTTGTTAAACCGGTCGAGTTTTGACCTGTGGAGGACTGAATTAACCACTGCAGTATGCTGAAGTAGCTCGTAATAGACAGTTATCTTTCGATCATACCAAATACTCAACACAACTTTGTTTGCCGTCACTCCAAGCTTTGAAGTCGTATGTAAAGGGTCACCGGTCTTTGACCACATGGCTTGCGTTCAATATATTTTCATATTTAAACAATTTTTTATGGTCAGTTGTGAAACATTTCGACCTCGTTTCGGTTCTCGCGAAAAATAATCATCGTTTAACTAATAGTATTTTGATAAATCAAATTCTTTTGCGGTATCTTATATGATCCCCAAACATCGACCGTCTTTGCATAGTTAGCTTTTTTAATATATTTCTAAACGATGTATACTACTTAACTTTTAATACGAGTGAATTACAAAACTATCTACCAAATACAAAAAATTCTGTCAAACGAACACATGTTTGATATAATTGAATTAGTGTTGTTAGATGGATACCAAAACCTTTGGGTACAAAACACCGCGGATATTTATAAATATCATACAATAATAGCAAAAAGAAAATAATTACAAAAATATTTATTTTTAAATAAATATATAAATAAAATGAGTTTATTATTTACCATATAAGTTTTTAGAATATTGTCTAATAATCATTGTCAGCTGTCTTTAAAAATATATATGGCCCATATATAATTCTTGCCAATAGCACATAATATACTAATTCACCTTAGAAACTATATAATATAGAATATATATTAACATATATATATAGATATTTATATATTTGCTCATTTAAATAATTAAAGAGAATTTATTATAAAATAATAAAAAAATTTTAGAATATTTTAAAAGGATACATATAATATATTGTAATATTAACTGACTTTTGTGATAATCGATATCGATTACAAATAATACTGAAAGTGTTATTAACAAATAAACAGAAAATATGTAAATTTAACTTAAAATGATTATAATATTTGATTATATTTTTTATTAAATAATAATATTCTTAATAAACTATATGTCGTCTAATGCATTCAATTAAATTAATTAATTAATTTTTATATACACATATTAACTTAAAGGATGTGTTAGTGACATTTAACTATTCGAACAATTAGGCAGATGTACATGCTTTTACAGTAAAATAAAAAAAAAATAAGTGAAAATTGTTTAGTTTAAGGATGCACATAATAAAAAATATAAATAAATAACAATAACAACTAATTTAAAAATATTTAAAATATTTATTTAATAAAAATCTTTGTTAGGTTCAAATCAAAAATGCAAATTCGTTTCACTAATCGAGCTCAGTGGTGCCAATTTATTAAGGTTGCCATTAAATTGGCGCTCATAGTAGTTGCTTACCGGCGCTGCACTATTTGCAGGATTCGAGCTGACATCAACAGTTTCTGCCTCAGTTGGGACATCTGTTTCACTTGTCGCATGGATTTCGGCTTCGACTTTTGTCAAAGAATTTTCATTCAAAACCTTATTAGAATTTAAGGCATTTTCTAAAGTTGAAATTTAAAAATATTTCAATATTAATTTCATTTAATAAAGAATAAAAATGAAATTTTATTTTAACGTACCGCTTACCCCAGTTAATTGTAATGCCATTTTCCCACTATTCTCGTTTGTATGGATACCATTGCTATTGCTATTAATGGTATTCACTTCGTTATCTTTGGCTATATTTTTAATTTTATTAAGACTATTTTCTTTATCGATTTGGCTATCTTTATTAACATTATTATCACTTTTGTTTTCTTGTGCACATTCATTATCGCTCCTTACAGAACTGAAAGTATCATCATCATCATCAGCATGGTGTTCATCTTCGTCCTCATCAACTTCTTCAATACGTGTATCAATATGGCCCAATGCTAAATCACCATTTTTCTTCGTCAAATTTTCTTTTGTAACTGTGCTGCCATTCTTTAATATTCCCACTAAAGGTGCACCATTGCCAGGCTTTTTCTCATCTTGTGGCAGCTTTGGTTATGAAAAATAAACAAATAATTACAAAAATTATTACAAAAAAAATATAAAAATAAAATTTTTAATTAGAAAAAAATTATCAAAACATGTGCCTACCGCTTTGTATGTGTACGGTTGTACACCAGTCACACCGGGCGAAATATGCATCTTAGTTGCCTGTTCCTTTGATAATATAATATCCTCGTCCGTTTCGCGCTCTTTGCGTGCTTTATACGCCAAATGACTGCGATAGACCTCCACCAAACAGCAAATTACAATGATGACGAACATGGCTGTTAAGGTGATGAAGACGACCTGCGTTGAATCTTCCTTTTTGGACACATCGTAAATGTATTTCGCCACGTAGGGCACGCGTTGCGGTGGTTCCGCTACCCAAGTCTCGGCGCTCTATATTGAAATGCATTTAATTAGCGTTTTTCGTAAAATTGAAAATTTCTTTGTTTTAAGCACGTTCTACTGTTGCTCACTACATGCCGGACTGTTAATGATTGATTTTTTTTGTTTTTGGTTATGTTGGGGTATTCACACTTACCAGACTTATGTTGACCATTGGTTCCTGTAGGGGCTGTTCTAATATATCAAATTTAGCAGTACATTGTGCACTTCGTACGCCTTGTGGATTAATTACTGTTATGTTGTCAGCACCTGATTTGGTGAATAGCATGTACTCCTCCAGCGGTTTCATGATATGATTATTCACTTGTATATAAATGTCTGTGAGGTAATTAGATACAAAAAGTTTCATTTTATGTCAGTATAATTGTATTTTGTACTTTGTTATAAAGTAAAACTTTCTGAGTTTCATTTGGGAGAACAAATAATTTTAAATAATGTGAACAACAACAAAATTATATTAATTATTAATTTATTGTGAACAACAACAAAATTATATTAATTATTAATTTATTGAGTTTTTGGCTGACCATACAGCTATTTCGAGAATTGTCAAATACTCAGTAACAGTGGATTTTTAGAAATATTTCGCAGATTAGCTTTAATAACCCTCGTATATACAATCTCAAAAAATTATTTACTTATTTATTTAATCAAATACCGCAAATACCCTAATTATGGTTATTTGACGGTACTCGAAACAACTGTGCGATCAGCAAAAAATTCAATTAATAAATAAATAATAAAAATTCGTTGTTGTAATTCACTACTGTTCAAAATACCTTTTTATTAAAACAATAGTTTCTATTAAGAAACATGGTTTCTTTCGTTATAATCGCCTTTAAAAATCAAATTTCAAACAATTTAAACATTTAAGAGGTGCAAACGTATCCGAAATATATTCACACCTTAATTAAAAACCAAGAAAGGGATAAGAAATTAACTTATATGGAATGGATAAAAGAATGAATGAAAAGAGGAATGAATATACATTGTGACCGAAAAGTTTCCGGAAATTTTAAATAAAACGCAAAATTCTTAATCTTCATCAATATTTATTTTATCTCCTTCAAAATATGCTCCATTAGAAGCGATACACAAATGCCAACGTTTCTTCCAATCATCAAAACATTTTTTATAGGCGCTTTCCGGTATGGCTTTGAGTTACCTCTGCGAATTCTGTTTTACGTCTTCTATGGATTCAAAACGCGTTCCTCTGAGTGGTAATTTGAGTTTGGGAAACAGGAAAAAGTCACACGGTGCAAGATCAGGTGAATACGGGGGCTGTTCGATGGTATTTATTGAATGTTGGGCCTTAAAATCGTTGATAATGTTGGCTCGGTGCGAGGGAGCATTATCGTCATGAAAAATCCATGAATTATCCTTCCACAATTGAGGCCGTGGTCTCACGACCGATGCCTAGCTCTCGTGCTATCTCTCTAACACTCACATGAGGATTTTGGAACACGATTTCCTTTGCCTTTTCAATGTTTTCGTCGGTGGTAGAGGTCGAAGGTCGTCCAGAACGCGGCATGTCTTCGACGGTCGTACGACCGTCCTGAAAGGCTTTGTACAACTCATAAACTTGAGTTTTCGATAAAACTGATTCCCCATAAGCCTTTTGTAGCATTCGCAACGATTCTGCACACGAAATTTCGTTCGAAACACAAAATTGGATGCAAACTCTTTGTTCAATATTTTTTTCCATTGTTTTTTTCGCAACGCACTACTGAGGTGAACTGGTTTCAACAGCTGCCGTAAACGAACTGTCTGACAGATCGCGCTCATTTTTGGCATAGTAATTAAGGAAAGTGCTGCCAAACTACATAAACTTAAAATATCGAAAAATATACAGCGCGCGAATTTTAAATGAGAATTTCCGAAAACTTTTCAGTCTCAATGTAAAGAATGTTTAAGGAACATAATTGGGTTTGTGCTTCTATAAAAGCATGAGTGGTAGAAATTGGGGTCTGTATTCTAAAATTGTTTTTTATATATTATAAAACTGTCGTTATATGACTATGTACCTCATATATATATTTCTATCGGCAACATATGGGGTATGACACATGAGTGGTATAGTTGTATAAGTGCACTCTAGCCTACTACATAAATTAACAGTAAGCACAGACTACTGTTTCGAAAATGAATTCCAAAAATCTTTTTAAAAAGAGGTTTTTTTCGAACAGTAATGAAATACAACAACAAACATTTTATTTTTTATATTATTTTAATTAATTAATAATTATTTACGAATAATAAAAATCTTTTTATCTAAACTTTACATTAAAAAGAAAAAGATGCAACGATTTACCTCAATCAATCGAAACTAATATATCCTATGGATAGTTGGAAAATGGCAACAATGTAGGTCAATTGATTTCAGAAAATAATCTATAAAATCAACGAATTTTCTTCGATAGAAATGTAAATGTTTTCGCAATGTCCAATTACAGTAAAAAATCGAAGATTATGCAGGCAGTGAAAAAAGTGAACTAATTTCTATTAGTAACTACTACGTAACATCATTGATAAGGGTATGAGACATCTACGAAGATATTGAAATTCCGGATGAATTAGTTAAACTTGGCTCAGAAACATCATTATATATTAGTTTCAGGAGATCTTATGAGGAGTAAAAGGCCACAGAAGTATTATTAGCAAATGATAAATACTGATTTCGTTTAAGGGTATTCGAAAACATATCACAAATCATTATTTAAGATTAGCAGAAGAAAAATACAATAGAAAGGTAAGATGTGTATTCAAGTGGACGTGGCTAGATTGTAGTCAGAAGTATTTGTGATGATGCTTTAAGATTATAAGTTAGTAGATTGAAGTAGATATGCAGAAACAGTCAGAAGAAGGCAGAAGAAAATAAAAGTTTAACTGAGCAGTTCCTTTGCTTTAAAGAAACTGAACAAAACATTTGATTATCTATGAATTTACGTGTGTGATGAATATTTTAAACATTAGTATTCCATAAAAAAAAACTCCTTTTATACTGATTAGGAAGATAGCCTAAGATTCAACTAGAATCAATCGTTGCGCTATTAATGATAATGACGATGATTCTGATTAGAAAACTATCCTTTCTGTTACTAAAAATAAATAATCATTCAAATTGATTAAAAAAAGTATATAAAAAAATTATTAATCAACTAAAAAATATTTTGTCACTTTTAAGCAAGACTGAATAAAGAGCAATACAAATATGACAGCATTCAATGAAATCTGCTATATAATTTTTTGAAAATGCTGTCCTTGCAGTGGTCATAAAAGCTTCACAGATAGAAAAAAGTTACATTAGATCATCTTAGATTAGTATGTTCATCTTGTATAACGATCACATTGTATATCATCCAGAACACTGAAAACTCTAATTCTAAAAACTGTGAGTGGAAAGCAACTGAATAATTGACCACTGGTAAATCCTTTTAATTAAAAGTTTAAATTAAAAATATATGTATTTATGCCTAACACGTATGAAAGTATGTATGAAAGTATTATTCACGCTTGTATTTTAACCCTGAACCTATTTAGATTAAATAATACCTGCATAAATAATCTTATTTTATAAAATTAAATTTAATTATTTCATAAAAAAGTTTTTCTATTTAAGAAGTTCTTATTTAATGTTTTCCGTTAGATTAAATTCTAATCTGGTTTTATCTTCGACCATAAAAAATTGTTTAAATTCACCGGAAAATATTCCGATAGATATACTTAATAGGCTTTCCTTAAATCGGTTGAATTCATTAGCAGTGGCAGTAATTTCATTTGAAAGATTTAAGTCATTGTCTAAATTTAAACACATTCCAGATTATCCTATATTACCAGAAATAGATTTTCTACAAACTTTTGTTTTTATTTTTATTACGAAAAAGTTTCGACCATAAACATATAACATGATGGGGCAACAATTCAAAGTCAGGATAAGGAAAACATTTTACAACGAAGCTTCCTTTTTTCTTGTTAATTTTTTTACTGTTTTCATGTGTGAAACAAGATTTTCGTAAATGCGTTGATGACCCTTGGAAGGATCAATGTAATAAAACAAAAGAACACAAATGAAAATAAAAATGAAAATAAAAACAAAAGTTGAGAAAATGCAACAAAAGTTGAAAATATAAAATAAATATATAAATAAACAAAATGAGTATTATAAAAAGTTTAAAATTCGCGTACACAGAACTACACACATGTGAACAAGGATAAAAAAATGCTTTCACGCAACAAACGGCAAATCTTAGTACGCCACTGTGTAAGTGAACCCTTGTCAGAAACTCAGCGAAGCTTTAAGAATTAATAGCGCAATGCTGTGAAATTTATGGTAGACCCTTGACAGCAACAGGGAACATAACAAAATACTGCACAGACCATCACACTAAAGGATACGAGTACAAGAGGTATGAAGTCATAGTAGTAATATGTATAGTACAAGTACTAGTAGAATGTATAGGTATAAAGTTACTCACTGGATAAACAGCCACTGTAACTTTTGAACACAGCGAATCTCGAATCTGTTGTATTGATGCCACCAATTTGCACTCGATTTGCACTCGAGTCACTTGTCGGCGTCAATGTACGTGCACTTATTGCACTTAATGGCACCTGTTCGCGGTCAATATACAATGTGGCCTCCGTACCGTTGCGTAAGTAATATATGGAGTGGCGTGCATTATTAAGAAAATTACGATCTATACGTGCACCCACTGCTGGTCCTTCGCGGTCTTCCTCGAATAACAGATAATTATCTGCTGTTATGGCTACCATGAGATAGTAACTACGATCTGCTGCGGTCTGTAGTAGTAACATTACGCGATTGGCACGTCTCAAATCGAATGAGGAGAACGCCAATTGCAGTCGCACATAGTCAACTTTACCAAATAACTCAAATTTCCTTTGCATTGTCGATTCACCACTAAAATCGGCACCTTTTTCCTCCATACAAAACTCACCAAGGAAGCTAGTATGCTCACAATCGCATGTGGATTCCTGTTTGGCAAAATTTTCCTTACAAATGCCGCCATTCTTGCATGGTTCTGCGTCGCATTTAATTTGACAATCGGGTAGTACGCCATCGAGTGCTGAAAATAAAGAGAAAATTAATTTAATAAATTGAATTTGTGGATATTGTAACCGTTGTTTAGTATTATAACTTTTATGTGTAGAAAATTTTTAAGAACAATGTTTTGGAACTTTAATAATTTGTCATTTTTATACATATTTAAAAAAAAAACAAAGTTTTATTAGGGAATAATTGTTGGTTTGTTAGTTTTTTGAAGTTAAAATACTATGCATGTATACCAGTAAGTACAGGCATTTTTTGAGATTTAATTTTTTACACAAAGCCTATTCTTTTGTAAGCACATCACAAAAGAACAACCGCTTATTTTAAAAATAACATTTGAAACAACAATATTCTGGCTTATTTAGTCCAAACTTTTTGAAATTGCTTAACTAATAAGCAGTTTAAATCACATGGTTGCCAAGCCTAAAAATTCGTAACAGATACGTTAATTTTTCCATTTATTATATTACTATTAAAAAGCAATAAAATTCATATTTTATTCACAATTATGTAAAGAAAAATATTCTTACTAATGTTTGCAAAGAATTATTATTCATTTTCGAAACTTTAACTTTAAATTTTATTACATGTTTTGCATATATAAGTTTAATAAAATTTCCAGTTCTTCCAGAGTTGCCATCAAAAGTAGTGCCTATTTTATATTGTTCTCGTAATATATTGTTATGTCTTTAAGTTATTTAAATGACTATGGATTCATGTCACCGTCAAATATCCATCATTACTGGTCTTCCGACACATTTATTCTTTATACTAAGTGATGTTGTGAATCAAATTAAATTAATTAGAACCTATCTAATTGCAATATCTATCATTAGTGGTCTTGAAAAGAGATTATTCTTTAAATCAATTGATGTTTCCGAAGACCAATGATGGCGGATATTTGAGGGTGTTTGATATAGCCGACCATTCGGTTGTGATACAAAAATTAACTACCTATATTAATATTTTTTTTATATTTTTAATTAGTGGATTTTTGGCTGACCATACAGCTGTTTTAAGGATTGCCAAATACTCATCATCAGGGGTCTTGGAATTATTTTTTATATTTATATATTCGTAAATAATTTTTGAAACTTTTTTTGAGACTGTTACTTACTTACGTATTTGGCCATAGTAACTTGTAAAGAGGACTCTCCAGGTGACTCTTTTTTAAAAATATTAGTAACGAATAATTAAAAATAAAAAATTATTCCAAGACCACTAATGATGGGTATTTAGCAATACTCGAAAGAGCTGTATGGCCAGTTCAAAATGCAATTATTAAAAAATTATAAAAAAAATTTTGTTGTTGCAATTCACTATTATTTGATAAAAACCTCTTTTTTAAAAACAATATTTTATTTTAAAAATTAAGTTTCTTTCGTCAAAATAGTAGTACAAAATCAATTTAACTATATTAAAAATTAAATTTTTGTATAAAAATTTCCTTACTATTACTTAATTTTCTATATGAAGATAAATTGCATAAAATAAGAGCATACAAATTTTATTTAGAAATTATTTAAAAATAATTTAATAAATAAAATTTTAAGAAAACGTTTATATTAAGAGCAATTTTATTGCATTTTAATCCAATATTCGGATGAATTATTTTTCATTTGCTGTGACTCTTTCAGCAATTCAAAGATATTTTGATATTGAATGAATTTTCAATTTCCAAGAGTACGATTATTAAAAAGAAATATTATGCGCTTAACTCTCTCATGCTATCCGATTGACATTAATCTTACCAAAATGACCACAACTGCTTGGCTATGTGTTTAGCATTAAGGAAATTGCATGCAGTGCCACATTATCCTCCATATTTCTCTATAATATCCGTTTCGGTATACATGATATTGGCATATGCAACCAAATATGGAAACTGTTTGTTTTGGTCGTTGTTGTTGTTGCTGTTGTTTTTGTTGTTTTTGTTGTTATTGCGATATGATGCAAAATTGAAATTTGCTTATTGCTTCTAGCTAAAATTTCAATACTTACTGGGCGCTATGTTCCTTTCATTGACATCAGCCAAGTCGATCAGATTTGTACCAATTTTCAGGCCACGCACGCATCCAATATAACCGTCTAATGCAGGCGCATCCGTATTAGTTCGCAATAAATTTGCCGGATCATATCCGCCAATATTGAACTGGAAATATTCAGTGGGTGGTGCGGGTGGACGATGTGGTGACAGTACTTCTACAGATTTTAAAACGAGAAAATTTATTTAGATTTATTTTCATATTGGGAAAAAATTTAAAGAAAATATATTCACTTGTGTAGTGCTATATTTTGGAATGTTATTAGAAATGTTATTAATATTTTGCTTTATTTTATAAAAAATATACGAGTAATATTTTACTAATCATATTTTAAAATTAATAATATCATTAATGGTATTGAAATGGTTTCATTACTAAATTTGTCCACAAATAAATTAAATATTGATAATTATATATAATATTAAATAATATCTATCTATATATATAAAAATGAATGTTGTCTGTCTGTCTGTCTGTCTGTACTCGATGGATTCAAAAACCATACATCCAATCACCGTGAAAATTTGGGAAATTATTAGGTATATCCCCGGAAAGGTTTTTGCAAATTTTTATTAAAATCAGGGTTGAGGTTCTAGGTTCATTTAATTAGTAATATTTTGGTAAAAGTGTATTCTGTAATATAATTCTTTAGAAAGAAGTGAGCAGAAAAAAAGTAGGCAAGAAAAGGATCGAGTTCACACTATTCTTGTTTGATCATTAGAAACAAGTGAGCAGAGGCAAGCAAGCCAAGAAAGAGATCGAGTTCACCCTGCTCTTGCTCGGTCATTAGAAACGAGTGAGTGACACGAATTTCGCCGGGTCAGCTAGTTAATTATAAATATTAATAAAATATTATATTTAAATATTAATAATATTTAGTTAACTGATAATTTGAAGTAAATAAGGTTAGGAAAGTTCAAAAGACACGTTCAGCATATATAAGTTAAACTAACACTTTATAATATATATTATAATAAAATAAACTAAAGTTCTTCATATATTTAAAAAAGAATTATTTTATTTAAATATATATATAAAACAGGAAGCTGTTGTATGAGCAAATAATTAGACCGTCGCTTCTATATGGATGTGTAGCGTTCAGCAAAGCTCAAACACTACTATTCACCAGCTAGAAATTGCATAAAGCCAGGCTCTGAGAAGGTACCATGGTTCATCATTAGGACTAATAACATCCTCAGGGACCTCAATATTGAACCGATCAAAAAATATATAAAGGTTAGAGCCCTGAAATTATTTGTGAAAACTGACAGACTTACCAACCCCGCATTATCAAATCTCAGAATGGTTACAGGCTCATCGGGGAGATCTGTAGTACTGAGGTCAACCATTACTTAGTCTAATGAAGAGATAAACAATAATTTAGTCAAGGTGTAGGAAAGGGTTATGAAGAAAGCTCTAATAATACTCTAATAATAGTGTATTTATGTGCTAGAAATATTTACTAGCACATAAACATATGTGGAAATAAAATAAACTTACAGATAAAATAAAAACATAATTAAATAAACTTTTTAAGCATCTATATACAAGTATTACATATCTGTTAATACTTAAATAGGACTTATTTAAATAATAGTTTTACGAGTTGAAATAGCTGCTTTATATAAAATAATTGTTTGTTTATGACTTTCAATTAATTTGATTTAAATACTAAATACATAAATATTTTGTATTCTGGACCATTAATCGCAATCATGAATCAGTGTTTTGCAAATTTAATTGAGTGTTGAAGTGTTTAATTTTTTAATTGAATAATTATTCACTTTTTAATTGTTAATTTACTAAACGTAAACCTTTGTTAAACTGCAAGTTGAGTTTTTTTTATAAAATCTATAAGTCTATTTCATTGTAATATTTAGTATCATTAAGGATATAATGAGATATAAAATTTTAAAATTACTAATTAATAATTAAAGCAAAAACATTTAAGGCAATTAGTGGCAATAGGAGATTAAATTACAACAAATTAAAAAATGTGAGTTGAAAGAATTAAGCACTGGTAAGCACTGAAAATGATAATTTTCTTATACCCTTTGAAAGGACTTAATATATAGTATTTATGGTCTTAGTTGTAGTTAACTTACTTTATCAAATTATAATGGAAGATTATGAAAATAATTTTTTTTCCTTATGGAAATAAGCACACATTAAGCAGAGGAGTAAGAAACCAAAAAAGAAAGTGTGCATCTACTGCAAATGCATCTACTATGCATGATATAGAGGAGCAGGTGCAATTTGATCATGTCCAACATATTGTTTCATCCATCAAATTATTCATCAGACAAACACCTTTCCTTAGTGCTCAGATATTTAAGATATTTAAATTAATATCATCATTAAAAGTAATGCAATGGTTTCATTATTAAATTTGTTTATAAAAATAAACCGAAAATACTAAATAAAATTTTATTTCATTATGTTTAATTTCATTATTCATTATTACATTTTAATATAGATAATAATAGATAATATAGATAAATAAAGGCTATCATCCTTGTAAATAGACTTCAACATTTTAGGCTGAAACTCAGTTTTATCACTGTAAATGCTTTAAAATAAAACTGAA